TCCTATAATACGACAGTGACAGGGTAGCCCTCTGCCTTTTTCTTTTTAATATTGTTCAAGAAAGGCAATTTTATGCATCAATGCTTAACCAGTGAAAAGAAAAACTTATTGTCTAACACAAATTCCACACTAAAACTGCAGATGCAAGGTGTGACCTAAAGTATCAGTGGTACTGCATCTACAGTATGACAGTTCTGTGACTGAGCAGTGGTACTACACCAGTACCCATGATGGAAATGACAAATATGCCTCCCTGCCTCTCATACTGCCTCAACCTCAACTGGACTTATGGGAAAAATCAGAGATAAAGGTTAGAGAGAAACAGAGAAGCACACTTACTCGCATGTTCTAAATGTGTGCTTGGGACCCATGCTTGTGCTAGAACTAGCAAAATTAAAAATAATCTTCAGCTATATGAATAGAGAAATACTAAAGAAAAGCTGCTTACAATGTAGGTTAGGCCAAAAGTGGAATATAGAGGTGATATCAGTACCTTAAAAATATATGGATATATAGAACAAGTATAAAGATGAAAAAACTATGATGAAAACACTAAAAATGCCCCCATTTGATGTCAGGAAGCGGATAAATGATATCCTAAATATAAAATATGAAAAAAGTAGATAAAGATGACTTTTTAGCATGAATAGAATAAGAGGCCATAGTTGTAAGTAGAGACAAAAACAATGCAAAACAAAATGAAAATGTTATCTTCACATAATAGAACAGTGAAAAAGGGTTAAGAGATGTGATAAGTTTGACAATCACTGCAAGCCAAAAACAAATTATATACAGTAATTAAAAACTGAGGAGGGGAAACATCTAGCACAGTTCAGCTCTTGTAGCTGCAAATGGTAACCAGAGAGAATGAGTCACACAATTTAAAGGCAAAACAAGAGGTTTCAGTCTGTCCTGCACCATTATGTAGTCAGAGAGAGAGAGAGAGAAAAAAAAAAAAAAAAAGAGCCAGAAACAATATCAGGTAATAGAGAGGTTAGTAAACCTCTAAATTTGCCTCCTGACCTAATACACTTTACTGTATTCGTCTGATTTTCTTCCCTTTTCTCTCGTTCATGATTATAATGGTTGTGGATAGATAAAAATGAAGTTTAGTTTTCCTTTTAATTTGTTGGTTAGTTATGAAAGGCAATCACAAAACTTCTGTTAACAATCTGCCTGGCATTTTCTGCTCATGAAAAAATAAGATGAGGGAAAGCAAGGATAGAAATGTACAACGAAGAGGATAGATACAGGTAAAAATAAATGAGTGAGGAAAGAGATGAAAGATGAGGGAGTTCAGATATTTGAGTGAGATGAAAAGAGTTATGAAGAAAAGTACCCTTCAAGGATACTGATGCCTGTGAAGTGATCTTTGATCCAAAGAATTAGAGCTACCCTCCTTTTCACTGGATGAAATCTGACTGTCTCCCATTCCCCAAGGTGCTGTATAACCACTATGGGTTTAAATCGTCCCTTCCCCCCTCATGAAATAATAAATGAAAGAAAGCTGGGAGTAGAAAAAGCAGCAGTAGCAGCAGCATGCTTACACATGTACAATATTCATGCTTACCTTGCTATGTGATACACTGCAGTGGTCTTGTTTACAATGTGCCAGGCACTTTGCTGATTCATGCAGAGAGGAGAGAGAGGAGAAATGGAAGGAAGACAGTGCACTTACATGCTCACATCACGTGTGTGCAGAACTACAGGCATACCTTGCTGACAACAGCGATCATTTACAATCTGCTTGCTGTATTTGTTGGTGCAGGCAGACAGAAAGAGGACAGATAAGTACTGTACGATGCATATGTAATGTATTTATTCAGAAAGATTCTATGGTTTGTCTTCATTTTGAGTATTGAGGTGCACATAAGTAAAATGGTATGAAATGTTGAGTTCATGATCATATTTTCTTGACTACGTATATCATGTCTGCAGTCTGGAAAACCTCACAATCCGGCCCCACGGTTGCCGTATTTCATAAGTTTGACAAATAATATTTGTACTATTCTATCATTAAAAAATTAGCCTTAAATCCTTAATGTATTAATTACACTAATATAAAACAGAGTAGTCTAGTCATAATACCGGCAGCAGAGTAATTAACATATAGTCTTGGTTTTATAATCGCAAATGTTTATATGCACCAAAAATACAACAAAATACAGTGGACCCCCGCATACCGTTGGCATCACATAACGTTAAATCCGCATACCGATACATTTTATCACTAAGATTTTGCCTCACATACCGCTAAAAAACCCGCTCAACGCTATTCGTCCGAGACGCGTCTAATGTGCGGCCTGAGCCAGCCTCACATGTTCCGCCGGTGGCATTGTTTACCAGCCAGCCTCCACGGTAACATCCAAGCATACAATCAGAACATTTCGTATTATTACAGTGTTTTTGGTGATTTTATCTGCAAAATAAGTGACCATGGGCCCCAAGAAAGCTTCTAGTGCCAACCCTGTGGTAAAAAGGGTGAGAAATATTATCGAAATACTGTGGTACTATGGTCAACTGCTGATGCTGCTGCTGCTGTAGCACTGTCAGCTGCTGTAGTACCATCTGCTGCTGCTGTAGCACTGTCTGCTGCTGCTGTAGCATTGTCAGCTGCTGCTGTAGCACCGTCAGCTGCTGCTGCTGCTGCTGTAGCACCGTCAGCTGCTGCTGCTGCTGTACCACCGTCAGCCGCTGCTGCTGCTGTAGTACCGTCTGCTGCTGCTGTAGCACCGTCTGCTGCTGCTGTAGCACTGTCAGCTGCTGCTGTAGCACTGTCAGCTGCTGCTGCTGCTGTAGCACCGTCTGCTGCTGCTGTAGTACCATCTGCTGCTGTTGTAGCACCGTCTGCTGCTGCTAGCACTGTCTGCTGCTGCTGTAGCACTGTCAGCTGCTGCTGTAGCACTGTCAGCTGCTGCTGCTGCTGCTGTACCACCATCAGCTGCTGCTGCTGCTGTACCACTGTCAGCTGCTGCTGCTGCTGTACCACCGTCAGCTGCTGCTGCTGTAGTACCGTCTGCTGCTGCTGTAGCACCGTCTGCTGCTGCTGTAGCACTGTCAGCTGCTGCTGTAGCACTGTCAGCTGCTGCTGCTGCTGTAGCACCATCTGCTGCTGCTGCTGCTGCTGTACCACTGTCAGCTGCTGCTGCTGCTGTAGTACCGTCTGCTGCTGCTGTAGCACCGTCTGCTGCTGCTGTAGCACTGTCAGCTGCTGCTGTAGCACTGTCAGCTGCTGCTGTAGCACCGTCTGCTGTTGCTGCTGCTGTACCACTGTCAGCTGCTGCTGCTGCTGTAGTACCATCTGCTGCTGCTGTAGCACTGTCTGCTGCTGCTGTAGCACTGTCTGCTGCTGCTGTAGCACTGTCTGCTGCTGCTGCTGCTGCTGTACCACCGTCAGCTGCTGCTGCTGCTGTAGTACCGTCTGCTGCTGCTGTAGCACCGTCTGCTGCTGCTGTAGCACTGTCAGCTGCTGTTGTAGCACTGTCAGCTGCTGCTGCTGCTGCTGTAGCACTGTCAGCTGCTGCTGCTGCTGCTGTAGCACCGTCAGCTGCTGCTGCTACTGTACCACCGTCAGCTGCTGCTGCTGCTGCTGTAGTACCGTCTGCTGCTGCTGTAGCACTGTCAGCTGCTGCTGTAGCACTGTCAGCTGCTGCTGCTGTAGCACCGTTGTTGGTGTGGCTTATTGAGAATACCAAGAAACAATTAACTCCAGAGGGTTAGCCACCCAGGATAACCCAAAAAAGTCAGTGTCATCGAAGACTGTCTTAACTTATTTCCATTGGGGTCCTTAATCTTGTCTCCCAGGATGCAACCCACACCAGTCGACTAACACCCAGGTGAACAGGGAAAAATGCCTGGAACTAGTGCTCATATTGGTGAATTTAAAGCCAGCAAAGGTTGGTTTGAGAGATTTAAGAATCGTAGTGGCATACACAGTGTGATAAGGCCTGTTCTGGAAGAAAATGCCAAACATGACCTACAGTACTCAGGAGGAAAAGGCACTCCCAGGACACAGTGTCTCATCAGTCATTGCTGCATCTTCAATAAAGGTAAGTGTCATTTATTCTTCATTTAGTAGAGTAGTACATGCACAATATATATTGTGCATGTACTACTCTACTATTGTGCATGTATCCTTCTCTTTGTGTGTAGGAAAATGTATATTTCATGTGGTAAAATTTTTTTTTTCATACTTTTGGGTGTCTTGCACGGATTAATTTGACTTCCATTATTTCTTATGGGGAAAATTCATTCGCATAACGATAATTTCGCATAACAATGAGCTCTCAGGAACGGATTAATATTGTTATGCGGGGGTCCACTGTATATAAAAAAACATAGTATGATAATTCTGAAGTGCTTACAAAGGTATAAACCAATCTGAATGATTTATGAAGTTAATATTGACATACATAATAAAACCACTAAAAATCTCTGACCCCTCAAACTTAACAGGTACATTGCAAGTTGTGCAAGAAAGGTATAAAATACTGACAATATGAAAGTTTATACACATGTGCAACATCAGGATATCTTTATTGTAGATGTTTTGCCATCCAATGGCTTTATCAATACAGATTCTAGGACATAATTAGAAGACAGTAGAACTATATACAAAAGAAGAGGTAATCAGTCCCTCAGCCTTGGAGTTAGTGTTCACAGCATCGTGTTCACCACGAAAAATTCTATGGTTAGTGTTCACAGCATCGTGTTCACCACGATGTTGTGAACACTAACTTCTAGGCTGAGGGACTGATTATCTCATCTTTTGTATATAGTTCTACTGTCTTCTAATGATGTCCTAGAATCTGTATTGATAAAGCCACTGGATGGCAAAATGTCTACAATAAAGATATCCAGATGTTGCACATGTGACTAAACTTTCACATTGCAAGTGAAAAAAAAGAGGGGGGGAGGGGGCATTAATGGTGATTATGCTTTTCAGATTCAACTCAAATAAGTAGATATTTTTTGTACATATTTTAAAAAAAAAACTCAAATAAGAAAGGAATTTACAAAGAAAATTAAAAGAATGAAATTACCATACATATTTCTGATATTCTGTTTGCAACATTAAACTCTGCATTAATCAGATAATGAAGTCTTCCATATAATAATACCAAAGGCACCTATTGGATGAGGTACAAGTATTCTTAGTTCAAAAAATTGATAGAAACTACTCACATTTGATATACAGTATACATATAATATATATACACAATATATATACATCTCTTACACTAGGTTACAACTCTTATTTTAGGAATTCTAATATTTTTTTGCATTTCCTTAAGGGAAAAAACATTTGGAGCATAAATGATTAAAGTACGGCACAATGATATTCTAGTGCATGAAAAGCGGACAAGCTCAGTCTAATTAATAATAAATTGTCATTACTCATCACAATAGGGAATATTTTGCTCAGTAATTATGCAAGATGCCCTTTATATTAAGCTATAGCATTTCTGTGCCTTTAAATAAATAATGGAGTTAGTGGAAGGTCAAAGTATTTCAATATGAGGGTGTACCATATCCATAAACTCAATGGTGAATACATCCTAGATAATTGGGGAAAATAACCAAACTTGTACAATTTTAATGTTTGTCTACTTACCAAACCCTTCAAGGGAAGGTGTCTTGATGCTTAAGGGCTCTTGATTACAGAAATTTCAGCTACTCTTGGATCAGCATTATTTACCTCCCATTCCTTAAGTACCATATGACCTCCAGTGAGTTCTGAATTTCCACCTAAACCTAATAAAAATATCTACAGACCTACACCCAGCTCTATAAAGAAGCATGCAGGATAAACCAATATTCAAATATAAACTCTAACTGAACATTAAAAATTTAAAATTTAGTTTTTGCTCCATGTCATCATAAAATGAATATTTCATTATGAAGCTACTTATTCCAATCCAATCACCCTTAAATAGGTGTGCCCTGATGTTAGTGAAGGAATCAGAAATACAATTCCAATCACTGGAGCAAATCTGATAACTTTTCATTCCCCAGGTACTATGTACCACTATGGGTTTAGCACTTTCCTATGAATATAATAACTCAATTCAATTAGCTAAAAATCCAATTTACTATAGAAAAAAATATTTCAATCAATAAAACTACTTCAATTAAATAAGCAAATAGGTTCCTTTTGAATCAGTAAATCTACCCAATACTTGTAGTTTAAGGGATAAAATAATTAGTGAATGTTTAGGGAGTTTTCAATCAAGTAAAAGCAATGATGAGTGCCGTATATGCTCAAGTGGGAGAGTGTGTTGTAGAGGGCACAGATGAAAAGTCTGGTGTGCCAGGGATAAAGTATAACAAGGGTCCTCTAACCAAATTATCTACAGAAAGAGATTGTTGGTAATAGGTAATATTTAGAAAAAAAAAAAAAAAAAAAAAAAAAATAAAAAAAAAAAAAAAAAAAAAAAAAAAAAAAAAACACAGTTAACAAGATAAGACGTAGTGCACATGACAGTAGGTTTGCTAGACAATGCATTAGTGGATAATAGGCTGGCTGGAAGACTTTTGTATGGGCATGTTTTTAGAGAAGCAACTGATATGTCAAGATCATCATTTAGTGGTAGCTACAGTAAGAATATAAGGTGGATGGCATACAAGGAGAATACTATCAGTGAGGAAGAGGAGTGAAAGTGAATTCATCAAAGAAGATAGCTGGTGGGACATACAAGGAAATGTTTATAGAAAGGTGGGACAGTTAATAAAGAGGTCAAAGATATATAGAATATACAAATGTAGTGCTAGTGTGCAGCAGAAGTTTGCGGTTACAGGAGGGTGGGTTCAGGTGGGAAAAGAAATGGATGTGAATGTGGTAAGGGAGAAAAGTTAACATAAAAGTTTACAATGTTAAAAAAAAAAACGTGAAAAGAAAAATAGGGGGAAAAACAAGTGGTGAGGAAGTGCAGTCACCATGTTTAACATATTAAAAAAAAAAAAAAAGTTACCTACCCTGATATTATTACTGAACAAAAAAATTCCAAATTTCCTTTGTGCCTTATAAAAACCTTTTATTCTCCATTTAGTAATCTTCCACTTAATTTAAATTTTCAAAGAGCACTCCTGGGATTACAACTTGGAGACCTGAGGATTCTCGACCCTCTTGCTAGCCACTGTGCTTTTCATGCAACTATATATCAAATCCATTTTTGACCTTCAAATTACATTACTATTTCCAAGACAATTATCAAGGCTACTAAGGAGGGAGCTGTCATATGCCGCTGAGTAACATGAATCCTGATTACCACTAGAATGAACAACTCTGTGCACAAGTTGTTACTGCATAATGACTAAAAGAGTAATTTTACAATTGTGGGTACAACACCAATCTAAAACCAAAACTTGCTAAAACTTTGAATACTTCTAGTGATGTTACCTGAGATGCGACCCCATATAGCCATGCCCCAACAGTATGGCTATACTACACTTGAAAATGATACAGTATACTCGTAATTATAATATTTAATTTAGAGAAAAAAATACTGTGGGTTAAGGACAGTTTAATTGGCAATATTGTCTACTTCAAAATGCTAATTCAATTTAAATTCATTACTGACATAGCACAAATGAACCAACAGACACAAGCAGGAAAAAAAATAGTACTGGTACCATATATTTTGATCTCAATCTAATCCCCCATCAGCAGAAATTAGTAATGTGGGCCTTGGAAGAGACCAAAATAGTGCAGTAGTAGTCCATTTTTCCATTTCATCATCTGTATGGATTCCCTTGTGATGGTGACCAGTTTTTGTTAACATTTTTTGTTTGTTAATGCATATATATATATATATTAGTAGTAGTTTCAGTCACTAGGATAACCTCATCTTCTTAGAAGCTTTGCAGTCATTTTCACACTCTCCATTTTCAGTTGACATGGGTGCTAGATTACGGAAAATTCTGCTTTGGGAGTAATGGCCAAAGAGAGTTGGTAAGAGAGCAACACCATAGCCTGTAGCTCTTTCCCCCTAAAAAGATAAAGAATATTAAATTTAACAAGTACATATAACTATTCTTCATATTATTATATAATAAATAATCAGAAAAAAATTCACTTAACAATGCACTATGGAAAACTCAGACTAGTTTACAAGATTTCTTCTCATCTCCAAGTCAGGCCTTATGCCAAACAAAAGTTAACATCCAGTCAATCAGGTGGCTTTTGCTGAAAGTGATCCACAAGCCTATATATCCATCAAAACCTGGCTAGTATGACACCTACAACAAGAGCTTTATTAACCATACCACAGGCAGGATTTGAACCAGCAGCCAGAGAGTCTCAAAACTCCAGACCGTCGCGTTAGCCACTGGACCAGCTAGCCACAATAAGATTTGTCCAACTAGGTATATTTCTACACCATAGGAAGGTTAGCATAGGCACCACTGTGACCACAAATGCAAGTTTTTACAGACGAATCTCCAGCAAGCATGGCCGTGACGAACTCTAGCTCAAGTCCCCTCACTGCCGTCAACATGACTCACGAAATCGTAATGACACTACTGTATAATGTACACTACTGTATAAACATTAAAAAATATACCAGAAATGTTATAAATGGTGCAAAGGTGACATTAAAACAATATAAAAAATGGTTAATACAAACCCACTACCATTACAGTATCCTCCTCACTTAGTGACGAATTCGTTTATTGACGTGGTCTTAGGAACGGAACTCTGTCGTTAACCCTTAAACTGTCCAAACATAGATCTACGTTTTTTCAACGTTTGAAAGATGTAAAAAAACGTAATTTTTTTTTTTTACATTTGAAAACGAGAAAAAACTTTGATCTACTTTTTTTTTGGTTATATTTGAAAATATGTAAGAAAAATGTAGATCTACCTTTGGAGCACTATGCATGTGAACGTAGATCTGTTTGGACAGTTTAAGGGTTAAGTGAGGAGAGGTAAGACTATCACACAAAGTTAAGAAAACCAACATCAAATAAAAAGAAACATTAAAATTATGTCAAAAGGCTCTCCTAAAAGTTCCCCCAGGATCCTACAGGCACTTCAGTAATTATCAAAACCACGACAAAGGCTCACTAAATGGTTATAACTATGACCATAATTTTTAAAGAGGTGGACTGGTAAGCCAGCGGAAGGCCTCAGTCAGATGACCAGAAGCTCCAATGGTGGGTCATCTGACCAAGACCTTACCTAACCTAACCATGACAAAGGCAGAAAAGCCTAAGCCATGGGCAAACTTTTAACTCGTAAACGGTCCAAGCAGATCTACGTTCACAAGTGTAGTGCTACAAAAGTAGATCTACGTTTTTTTTACATATTTTCAAATGTAACAAAAAAAAAAAGTAGATCAAAGTTTTTTTACACATTTTCAAATGTAAAAAAGAAAAAGAAGATCTACTTTTTTTACATACTTTCAAATGTTGAAAAAACGTATATATAAGTTTGGACCGTTTACGGGTTAAGCACATTCCAGTCAGTATGACGTGACAAACTGCACAGTGGGGGGGAGGGAAGGGAAGGGCTAAGCAGGAGCACTGGCAAACAGGTGGCTAAGGAACATTAGACAAAGTTTTTGCCTGCTCTAGACCATTATCAAGTTACAACATGAGAATGGAACAGGATGAGCTGAGAAGTCCTCTAAAGATTAGTCTCTGCATTGTAAGTTAGTTGTCAATTGTGTCCAGTCATGGTATTGTGACTTTAGCAAGATGGACAAGAAATGCACATAAGAGAATGATTATAAAAGGGAGAATAAAATACAAAGCTCTACCATTACCAAAAATCTGCCACAAATATTGCTCTTTTAGCTGACACAAGAAGTAGTAAACACTCACACTATGAACAGGATATGCCATATCAATGTGAATCCAATTTCCTGGAAAGTCAAACCCTAGGTGAGCTGCAATGAAAAGACCGGCACAGGAAGAAGTTGCATTTGAACGATCCTGAAAGACAGAAAATGGTATTAAAACACTATTCCCAATATTAAATTAAGTTTTTTCTTCTATGCTGTATTTGAATGAACAACAAACTCAAAATATTCACAGCTTTTATGCTCAGTAAGTACTTGACTTACAAACACTTTGGTAAAGAAACACTGGATATCCCACTGGAGAAAGGGCATATAGAAGTGAAAGTATTCAGACGTTTGAGAGTAGATCTGTCAGCAGATGGGTTTATAAATGACGAGGTTAACCATAAAATTGATGAAGGAATAAAGGCAAGTGGTTCATTGAGGTGTCTGTGGAAACAAAAAACATAGTGGCAAAGGGAATGTAAGAGAGTATAGTGGTACCAATACCCTTATATGCGTGTGAAGCATGGGTGTGAATGCTGCAGTGAGGAGGAGGCTGGAGGCAGTGAAGATGTTGTGTCTAAGGGCAATGTGTGGTGTAAATATTATGCTGAGAATTCATAATGTGGAAATTAGGAGTAGGTGTGGAGCTACAAAAATATTATTCAGAAGGCTGAAGAGGGGTTATTGAGGAGGTTTGGTCATTTAGAGAGGATGGAGCAAAACAGAATGACTTGGAGGGTATATAAATCTGTAATGGAGGGGAGAAGGGGTAGGGGTTGTCCTAGGAAAGGATGGAGGGAAAGGGTAAAAGAAGTTTTGTGTGCAAGGAAGGTAGGTAGGTGTGTAGGTAGCTAGAGAGGTGTAGGTAGGGAGAGAGGTAGAGGGAGGGAGGGAGGGAGGGAGGGAGGGAGGAGGAGGGAGGGAGGGAGGGAGGGAGGGAGAGAGGGAGAGAGAGAGAGAGAGAGAGAGAGAGAGAGAGAGAGAGAGAGAGAGAGAGAGAGTGAGAGAGAGAGAGAGAGAGAGAGAGAGAGAGAGAGTGAGAGAGAGAGAGTGAGAGAGAGGAGAGAGAGAGAGAGAGGAGAGAGAGTGAGATGAGAGAGAGAGTGAGTGGAGGAGAGAGAGAGTGAGAGAGAGGAGAGAGGTGAGAGAGTGAGAGTGAGAGTGAGTGAGAGTGAGAGTGAGTGAGAGTGAGTGAGAGAGTGAGTGAGAGTGAGAGAGAGTGAGAGTGAGTGAGTGTGAGAGAGAGTGAGAGTGAGTGAGAGTGAGTGAGAGGAGTGAGAGTGAGTGAGAGAGAGGTGAGTGAGAGGAGAGTGAGTGAGAGAGTGAGGGTGAGAGTGAGAGAGAGAGAGAGAGTGAGAGTGAGAGAGAGTAAAGAGTGGAGGAGGAGAGGGGAGAGTGAGAGTGAGAGAGAGAGAGAGGGGAAGAGGGGTGAGAGAGAGTGAGAGAGAGTGAGAGTGAGAGAGAGAGTGAGAGAGAGTGAGAGAATGAGAGTGAGAGAGAGTGCATGGGAGTGAGTGAGAGTGAGTGTGATAGATCTGTCATCTGGATAGATCTGTCATTTCAGCAGCACCATTCTGAAATCCACTGATAAGAAACACCAATATGAAAAGCAATATAGACAGGGCTTAATACACAAAGATATTCTTAAACACTATTCATCAGTCCTCACCAAAGTAATAAAGAAAGCCAAACAACTATACTACTCCAGTAGATTCACTGACACAAGAGGATATATAAAAAAGACCTGGAAAACACTCTCTCAGATTCTAGGGACCCACAAATTGAAAAAACCAAGAATATTGTCCTAACTAAACCTAATGAAACACCACTGCATCCCACTGACACAGCTAACAAGATAAACGACTTCTTCTCAACCATAGGTTCTAATCTCACCAATAAAAACCCACGTACCAATGCCCATGCCGGGGACTACCTAGATGGGAATTTCCCAAATTCCTTCTATCTTGCTCCAACTGAGCCCATGGAAGTCACCGAGATTATAAAGTCACTTAAAAATAACTCAGGGAATCTGTCTCATGTCCCCCCATTTTTGAAACAAGAGAGCGGCCCATGTCCTCTCGCATGCTATCTCATTACTTTTTAACAAGTCACTAGAAAACTAGCACCTTCCCAAAACTACTCAAGACGGCAAGGGTTACACCAATAAATAAAGGTGGTGACTCTACAGTTTTTAAAACAACTATGGCCCAAATATCAAACTTACCTTTGTTTATCCAAAATCTTTGAGAACTCGTGCACAGGAGACTATATTCATTTATAACGGCAAAAAACATACTCAACCCCTGCCAATTTGGTTTCAGGAAAAATAAAAGCACTAACGATGCAATCATAAAAATGCTAGATCTGCTTTACACAGCATTGGAAAATAAGGAATATCCACTAGGAATTTTTATTGACCTAAGAAAAGCTTTTGACACAGTAGACCACGGCATCCTACTCCACAAACTTGACATTATGGTAAAAGAGGCCATGCGCTTGCATTTCAAATCTTACCTTACAAATTGGGTTTATCAGTATGTCACCCATTAAAGACACAGCATCAACAACACAGCCACTTGATACTGGGTTCCGCAGGGAAGTGTCCTTGGTCCCCTGCTCTTCCTCATATACATCAATGATCTTCCAAACGTACTCAACACCTGAACCCCTTTTCTCTTTGCTGACGACACGACTTATGTCATCTCTCACCCTAATCTTGCCACCCTCAACACCTTGTTAACGAGGAGCTGATCAAAATATCGATTTTGGATGACAGCCAATAAACTTACACTTAACACTGACAAAACCTACTACATTGTGTTTGGTGCAGAGCAGGAGATGCGCAAATTAACATTAAGATCGACACCACTCTAATTGCCGGCATAATGAGGGCAAATTCCTAGGCTATACCTCGACAACAACCTGAACTTCAGCACCCATATCCAACACAAAACCAAAAAAGTATCCAAAACGGTTGGGATCCTCTCCAAGATACGATACTACGTGCCGCAAACTGCCCTTTCCGCACTATACCATTCACTTATATATCCAAAACCTAACTTATGCTATCTGTGCTTGGGGGTTCAACTGTAGCAACACACCTAAAGCCAATAATAACCCAACAAAAAGCCGCAGTAAGAATAATCACTAAAACCCATCCCTGGCAACACAAAACCCCCCCCAAACTTCATAGATCTAAACTTACTCCCTGTTCAGTACATCTACACTTTTCTACTGTGCAATCTACATCTACAGTACCTTAAATTCCAATATTAACCTTGACCTAAAACGCTTTTTTGATAGTGTGACAGAACCCACAGGCACAAACCAGACACAAACATCTCTATGACTTCCCCGTGTCCGACTAAACCTTTAAAAAATTCAATGTATGTCAAAGGCCCTAAAATCTGGAACACCCTACCTGAAAATGCTAAAACTGCAGGTACATTCATCACTTTCAAAACTACCATCAGAAACATCTTATCCCCTGATACACCCTGTCAACTAATTTCACGAATACCACCTGGTGGTTAACACTTACCCCTCACTCACCCATTTGACCATAAACAGAAATATCAATCTCAATCTCAAAATAATGAATCTTAACTAATCATAAGTTGGCCTGTGATACTCCAATACTGAAACTATGTATAGTGCCAAAACAAAAGCATTCACATTGCTAAACTCATAAACTAGTATTTAGTCACTTAGCCATAATACCAACTTACCTCATAATTTTGTAATATTTTAAACTTAAGATTTAATCTAAGTTTGCCCGAAATGCCTAGCCATGCTAGGTGTTCTAGTGGTACACTCTGTAATTATTATTTTACTACATGTAAACCACACAATAACCAAATTGTAAAGTAAAAGGACACAAGTGCAACTAATGTGACATTTATTGTGGCAACGTTTCACTCTCCTGGAGCTTTATCAAGCCATTACAAACAATACATGGACACAGAGGGTATATAAAGGCTCAGAGTGAGGTGTAATACTAGTGAGGTACCATTTCGATGTTCACTAGTGGTAGTAGTAGTAGTAGTGGTAGTGACAAAAGTAATACAATATGGTAGAGCAATTAATTCGTACATGAGTAAAAGGATATAAAAGCTATTACTTGGGTAACATAAAAATAGGTTGGACAAATATAGACTGGAATGAGGCAGCTTGTTTCAGGTTCACTCTCTGTGCTCTGTGTGTAGTATAACAGGAGAGACTATGTGAATGGCAGGGTTTACTGTTTTCAGGAGGATTTTTGCTAAGACTTTGGAGATGGTGAAGCTGCCGTTGTTTTGTTTAATTGTATTCGAAACAGCGGGTCAGTGCTGATTCGAGGCACTTGCGTCTGCGGAAATTAGTTTCTTTGATCACTAATTGGGCATCTCTGAATTTCATGAGATGATGGTGGGAAATTTTGGTGTTGTACACAGGCGTTGTTCAAGTTATGTTCCTACGTGCGTAAATGTGTTCATTGAGGCGGGTGTCCCAGGTTTTTGGCTGTTTCACCTACGTAAATCTTGTCACAGCCTCCACAGGGTATAGTGTAAACTCCTGCACTGACTGGTTCATGGTGCTTGGATTTTGTCCTGGTTATATCCTTTATTGAAGTGCTAGAAGCGATGGTGACTCTGGTGTTAGCTTGTGAAAGTACTTTTGAGACGTTCAGTGCAACCTGACTGTTGGGAAGAATTATAACTTTCCTGGGAGTGGTGTTGATGCGTGGAGAATTTATGATCTGAAGAGCTCTTTTCTTGCAGTCTTTGATGAAAAAAGAAGGAAAATGTAACTCTGTGAATGTTTGGTGAATGTATGTACACTCCTCATAGGAAAAACCCGATGATGATGCCTCTTTTGGTCTTGGTATCTTGACTGGAATAGAAGTGTGTGAGATCATTTTTATTGGTGGGTTTCCGATAAACTTGAAATCTTAGGTTGTTGTCTACTTTGTGAATGAGGATGTCGAGGAAAGGTAGCTTGTCACTGGACTCTTCTTCTAGTGTAAACTGGATCGCCGGTTCAACTGCGTTGAGCCTTGCCTGAAGATCCCGTACATCAAAACATTTGGAGTTTTTTTGAACACGTAAGAATTAAAATTTTCCTTTGGGAGGGGTTTTAGGCGTAAGAAAAATGATCAAACCTTTTCCC